AAAGATATTTTTAAAAAGCCAGCCTCAGTAACTTAGCAAGGCCCTAAGCAACTCAGCAAGATCCTGTCTCTAAATAAAATATAAAAAAGAGCTGGAGGTGTAATTCAGTGGTTAAGTGCCCTGGGATTCAATCCCTGGTTAAAAAAAAAGCAGGAGTAGCTTAAGAAATGATTATCCATTGAATTGAATATGATAAACTTCTGGTTATTCCTGATCCTCACTGATGAAGGGTCTTCTTGCTCTTGTTTCCATCATTTTGGGGGACCTGAAACCTCTAATGAGATTTCAGTCTGCATGAAGACTAACCAAGTTGCCCATTCTATAAGCAGCCCTGGGCCCTAACATAAGAAAGCCAGTGCAGTGCACATTTCACAAAAAATACCCCAGAGCTTTGCTTTCCTCTTTGAAGTTACATTCACTTATTTATGAATCATTTGTGCCAAAGTGATAATGTACTTTCTAAATTCTGGCTCATAGTCTAAAAACATCAAATACACACTGCCCTCAGCTCAGGGGAAATGTATTACTTGTTATTTATAAAATGCATTTGTAGCAGAGTAGGAAGAATGCATCTTTTCTCATGTGGGATCATGTGTGACAAAGTGAAGGTAATTTTCCCTCTTTCAAAATGGAAATAAACACCTTTTAAATTGAATTATGTTGGACTATTTTTCAACCCAAGTATCTTTGGGGTTATTCAATCACATGACATGTTGAGTTTCTTTGAAGGTGTTTTTAATGCTATATGCACAAATTTGAGCCATTTCTCTTAGAAATTTTCAATGTAAATAATCCTCCTTTCCAATATATATTATTATGAGAAGGCAAGTAGTGGTACCATTACTTTTTACTTTCCAGGCTTTTCTTTTCTTAGATATTGATAGTTCATAGTCTTAGGAGTTAAGAAACAAACTATACTGGGGGCTTAACCTTTAATCTAATAGGATTTTGTTCATGGCATTTAATTCATACTGCTTTGGTTTATCTATTGGTCAAAGGGTGGATATTGACTCTGATCTGGCCACTTTGGATGACTGTTAGAATCAAATGCTATTGTAGGTGTTAAAATATATTGATATTTTCAAAGCACTATATGGGCATGAGGTTTTGGTATTCTCTTTAGTTCTTCTTTTTGTGACTTATGAAGAATATGTATTGCTCAAACCGTTCAAATTATATTTAAAAAAACATCCAAGTTGGCAAAAGTAAGAAAAAGTTTAAAGTAGAAGTCGAAAGATTTTAAAAGAATATCTGGCAGACATATGATTCAGTCTCATCCCACAAATTGGCTTCAGGCTTAAACTAGAAATGTGTAATACCTAAAAAAAATTCTGAATAGATTTTCCCCCAAAGCTGTGATTCATATAGTATGGAATTTTGTGCTGTGTTTTGGTTAGAACCTTCTTATTTGATATTAATGGAGTAAGTGAAATGTAAAATGATATTCATTTAATCTTTATTGGTAATTTTGCTTTCAGAATTTGGCAGTTATGTTTAGTAGCATAGATGAGGAGCTTAATGCTAACACTGTTTGGATGGATTTTAAAACATTTATAGCTAGTCTTGTTTGTAGCATCTATTTAGGAACAAGTTATTTGAGAATGCCATAAAGAGATTCAATCCTAAGTCATTCTGATTTATTCTTTCTTGTGTGTGTGTGTGGTACTGGGGATGGAACCCAGGCATGCTCTACCACTGAGCAACATCCCCAGCCCTTTTATGTTTTATTTTGAGATAGGATTTTGTCCACACTGAAATCAAACATGGAATTCTCTTGTCTCAGCCTCCTGAGTCACTGGGATTGCATGTGTGAATCACCATGCAGGACCATTCTGATGTTTTTGTTTTTGTTTTGTTTTGTTTTTTCAATACCAAAAATTGAATTCAGGGGTGCTCAACCACTGAGCCACATCCCCAACCCTTTTTATATTTTATTTAAAGATAGGGTTTTGTTAAGTTACTTATGGCCTCACTAAGTTTCTGAGGCTGGGTTTGAACTTGTGATCCCCCTGTCTCAGCCTCCTGAGCTGCCCCTGTCACTACACCTGGCTCATTCTGATGTATTCTCAAAACCAAATGGTAGGAACTGAAAAAAGGTTTAAAAGACTAATCCTCCAGTAATCCTGATGTGAAAAATGGTGGCAATGGAGAGTTACCTCATATGATTTCTGCATTGGGGAAAATTTACGTAACTTTGTCGATAGGCACAGCATAGCCTCTTTCACTATTGTTTTCCTAGTAACACTACTAATATTCATTGGGCATTTATTTTTTGTCAGGCCTTGAGGAGAGCCTATGAAAATATAACCACTTTCTTTCAGAAACTTCCAGTCTAATGAAAATAGTAGTAAGTTCTCTTCCTCAAGCCGTGATTTCACTCTTGAACTATTTTCCTCCAATTACTATTATGAAAAAAGTCCTAAATAAAATCTTCTGTAACGTTATGGGACATTAACTCTTTCACAAGAGTATTCAGTATTCAAAGTATCCTCCCTGTGATTTTATCTTATTTATATAATCCAAATTGTTGTATTTACAAGTTCTTTTCACTGAATGTGGATTAAAACCATACAAAAACCAAGAAATCCTCTTGCTATCCAGGATGCCTTCACCCACTTGAGTGGCTGGCAGTTATACCTTTTGACTTTCTAATGGAGGGAGCTGCATTGACTCTCCACAAATTATATGGTGCACACATTGGTTAGCTTAAGATTTTCTCTGCCAAATGCCTCTCTACTCTTCTCATGTAGTATCAGGGTTCTCCCTAGGATTCTTCTGGAGTCAGGCCCATTTGGGGTGGCATTTTAGCCTCAATTTTACTGTTTTGCAGCGGGAAGAAAAGAATTGAGAACAAAGACTTTACCTTTTTTGCTTGTTGAAGAGTATGAAAGAAATTAGTGTTTTAGGAGTGATGCAAAAAGCATGGCATAAAACTTGCCAAGACTATACATTCTGAAGCTTCCATTCAGAGGATAGTCAATATTATTCATAATAATAATTTTATTATTAAGCTGTTAGTCATTGAGAATTCATTATGTTTTTAGGCATGGCACAGATTTTACCTGCATTTTTCCCAGTCAGTCTGCTTAAAGCTCTATGAAACAAACACTATTTAGAGAAGGCAGGTGCCATACGTAAGATCACATGGTTGATAGGTGGTTGAGCTTGTCTTTGAACCTAAAATTCATATTTCTAGCTATTCTGAAATATTCTCCTCTATGGAAGTGTTTTTATTATTTGAATAGGTTTAGAAGGTCATAAACATTGATTTATGAATCTTCCTGAGAATGTTATGTTGGATATCTTTGGTTAAGGAAACTCTGTAAGGGATAAGAAGAGTTACCTGTTCTTTACTTAGGTTCTCAGAATTTTGCTTTCATTTTGGAACTTGATTCTGTACAAAATCAGGATGGGTAACTACAACAGTTGATCTCAAGTTTATTCTAACCTTCAAATTCTAGTATTTCTCAGTGCCCTTGGAACATTACCTTTTCTCATATAAAATATCCAGTTTTAGATTTTGCTCAAAATGCACTTCTATTTCCCTATTTCTACAAATTTTCATTGTAGAACATTTTTTTCTCTTTTCACAGGAATATTATAAGTATATGATAGCTGTATAAGTGCTTTAAGTTTATGAGAAGACCAGATACAAAAATCCAAGTTATTATTGTCATCTAAATGATTTACATTTTAGAACAAAAATGGAAACACTCTAGAGAAGTTTGTGGCACACTTAGCTTTATTGAAATTGAACAAATGCATTTTTAAATAACCCCTTTTACAGCACATGTAAAATTTAATTATTTCCTTATGTTTTTACAGGTTGTCTTTTATCTGAGTAAGCAAAAATACGTCTTTATTTCTTACTTAAAACATGTAGCCAGGATTCAAACCACGTAGCTCTGGTACCAAAAAGGCAACGGGTTATGAAAATCACAGTACAATTTTAAAATTCTTTAAGTTTAATCAAGGATATTTAAAACGATATTCACTTGGATAGACAGTAGAAATCATGGATCAGTCAACATTAGGACTAATAGTTTTATCTACAATGAAAGCAGAAATGGGAAGTTCAAGCTAATCTGAGCTACACCATTCAGGACATACCATCTCCATAAATACTGTGACCGAGTGGCTGCAATGGCTAAGTCACACTTGGGCACTTAAAGTTGCACATAAATATAGCAAAAGCAAAAGATATATATGTATATATATTTATATAGTACTAACTTGGATCTAAAATTAAATGGGCATTTATTTTTGAAAGGGTACACTATCAAATCAATGACACAATACACAATTTAAACTCCAAAATTACATCTAAGAGAGAAAAATAATATTAAAGTGCACACCTACACAGACAGTAAAGTAGAAATCTTTTTTTTTTTTTTTTGTCATTGGTGTTTGTTTAGTTGTTGTTGTTTGGATAAGTAGAAATGACTTATAACCCACAAAAGGATTCTTGGGTGGAACACTAATTACAGACATTGTAAAGAACATAGCTCAGGAAGCTTGTTTTAAAAACGAGGCAGCATTTTCCTGAAAAAGTTTGGTCCTCAATTCACTATAGACTAGTCTATATGGTCAGATAGTAAGCATTTTCAGTGTGTGTGTTTGTATGTGTTTTAAGCAAACTTTTCAGTACCAGAATTAGTCAAAACTAAACCAAACAAAACCAAAAAGTAATCAGCCCTTGAGAACTTGACCCTGCATATCATGTCTGATTGATGCATCATCTGAAAGAACAACGCTTAAGACTATGGATAGGAATTATGCTTATGTGATTCTGCAACACCTTAGTTTTGTGCAAACAGCTTTCTTCATTGCCCACATAACTTATCTTTTTTTCCATGTAGGTGCCAGGAAACCCACCCCCATGATCTTCCCTCCCCCCTCCCTTAATATTCTCCTCTGTCAAAGTGATATAAAGACAATTTCACTGTGTATTTACAAGCACAATACTTAGGCAAGAAGGTCCCAGGGTCTGTAGGGCACATCTATTTCTTGTGGACATCTTCATGCCGAATGATCTTGTACGTGATCCAGTAAAAGATATTGAAAATTAGGAAGGCCAGTGGGAAGGCAGCTCGAGATATTGTGTCAATCCTTTTTGCCCGGTCCACGAACTTCTTCTTGATGGCATCTGCATCTTTGGGGGGTTGTGGAAGCGGGTTGGCAGGTGTGGCCTTGACAGCTGTTCCATCTTTCACTTGGAGGCAATGACCCATCCCGTAACCACTGAAATTAAAACGACTTTCACGAGTAACATCTTCTTCCTGGTAGAATAAAGACAGAGGAAGCACAGATTGGCTATCAATCAAATTTGTTTGAAGAGGCTTAAAATCCTTTAGAAGTAAAAGGATAAATCACAGTTAACTGGTGGTGTAGGAGGCTTTTGGAATGGGGAATTCCCTTTAAAGTTTGACTCCATTATTCATGGAACAAATACAGTTCATTAACTTTCCAGGCTAAGAAATTAAGGGTAAGAATAATGACTTTCTGGTCATTTTAATTAATTAACAAACAGAAACACCTACACTATATTCAGTACTGACTTTCCCAAAATCTAGTTTGTGAATACATAGATTTAAATAGACTGTTTTAAAGCTAGTTCTCCAAATTCTAATATCACATTATAAATCTATGAATAGGACCATTCATCCATTCATTCATTAAAAAAGAAAAAAAGAACATTTCCTCAGCCCTTGGTAAGTGCCTGATCCCTAGTTAGGAATTTTTAGCATCATTACCCATCCACAAACCACTTCTCCAGTAACATTAGCTTTATATTGTTAAATCTGATATGAACCCCTTAAAATGTACACTGGTTTCCTATCTGGCTCTCTAGATTAAATATTCATTTTTTGTTGTGAATATTTCTACCATGGCTAATTTTTTCCAGTGTTGACTTTTTAAAAATTTTTGTACTAAGGATTGAACTCAGGGGCACTCAACCACTGAGCCACATCCTCAGCCCTTTGTATTTTATTTAGAGACAGGGTCTCACTGAGTTGCTTAGCACCTTGCTTTTGCTGATGCTGCCTTTGAACTCTCGATCCTCCTGCCTCAGGCTCCTGTGCTGCTGGGAATACAGGTGTGTGCCACTGCACCCAGCTCCAGTGTTGAATTTTTAAAAATTTATATATGACAGTGGAATGCATTACAATTCTAATTACACATATAGAGCACATTTTTCATATCTCTGGTTGTATACAAAGTATATTCACATCCAGTGTTGACTTTTAACATTGGCCAGTGAATCATCTCTACCATATTTAAAAGTGTCATTGGGGTGCTGGGGATGTGTCTCGGTGTTGAGCTTGCCTTGGCATGCCTGAGGCCCTGAATTCAATCCCTAGTGTCACAATAAATAAATGAATGTGCCATTTTAGCTGATATCAGTGATATTTTGTGTTATTTCTACATGAATAAGATAAAAGACTGAAAATTGTTTTTATTCCTAGGTGTAATGGGCAAATAGCCTTAGAGACATGTATATGGGATCTGCAAATGTAGTTGTAAAAATTAACTGTGAAATAAAGCCATTTTGGGCAATACTTTTATTTGTCTTATACAAGGTACTCTCTGTTCAAGGTATTCTCTCTCATTTCTAAATAAAATATAATAAAGGATGTGTCATTCAGCAATTTATTATTGAGTGTTGACTCTATGGCAAGCATTGTGCTAAGTTCTGGGAGACAGTTGATGAAGTTGTACAAGGGCTCTACCTGCATGAACTTTCAGAATCCAGTGGAAGAGGCTAACCTAAATGCATTATCATATAAGGAAGCTGGCAAAGAACACTCAGCCTGACTTCTGAGTATTTCCCTGTGCACAGCCATATAAACTCAACAATAAAGACTCAAATAGGACTCAGATTCAAATATTAAATCTGTTTTCTTTTCTTTTAAAATGTGAATGATGCATTTTATGGAAGCAAAAGTTTCAAATAAGTGAAGTTTTATAAAATGTGTAATAAATAGATATGTTAATCATTATAATGTCATCATGACCATCCAAAAATTTATTCAATGCTTAGCAAGAAAGGAAGCAAACAGGTCATTAGGAGGAGGGGCATTGCTTGTGATATGGGTTATACACAGTCTTGAACATTTTAACAACTGTAAATTGGTAATTAGATCTTAACCAGTGTGTGAGTGAAGTAGAAATGGTGTCAGTTTGTTTAGCAAAGAGAGATCTACACTGGGAATTTGAATATTTGGGTAGTAGCCCTGAATCTAAGGCCAATAAACAATGTTGACTTTATGCAAATTACTTATTTTTTTTCCAAGACCTTCATGGACCTCATGCCAAAAATGTCCAGCATGCCCTAGAGCAGTGGGTATTGGTTCTGGTTGCTGGAGAACTTTAAAACAATAATACACACACACACACACACACACACACACACACACACTTCTTCTCCAATCCTCTTTCAGATCAAAGTAATAAGAATCCATGAGGATTACAATTTAGGATCTAAATTTTTAAAAAGCTAATGACTCTAGTGTAAAAGTGGCCTCGAGGAGTTCTAATGCCCATCTCTAAAATGCATAACCCATTCTATATTATTAAATCTAAACTTACTTTTCAAATGGAAACAACTCCTCAAAAAACATTTCCCCTTATTTGCCTAAGTTTATGGTGCTTTTTTCTCTTTCCATATTAGTAGAATATTGCAAATTACTCTTCTCATATCTAAAAACATTTTAGAAACTCATTATTAAACATATAGTTCACTGTTTGAATGAGATAAGATTCTTTTAGATTCTTGAGCCCCTAAAGAAATACAAAGGGTAGTACCTTATTATCAGCACATGAAACAAAAGGAAACCTAAATATATACATCAAATGTTTATTTTCAGACTGATTCATTCATTTAATTTCTATAGCCTTTCCCCCACATACTGTGAATGGACAGCTGAAGAGATTAACTCATTTAATTAACTACTAGAGCTAGAATAGAAGGATGCTAGGTTAGAATATCATTATTTTGTACAATAAACTGTAGGTGCTTAATAAATGTTTGCTGAATAGTGAGCAAAATGGAATTTAAGGTATTCCCTATGCTTGCAAATGCTGTCTTCATTCATCCAACAGTATTTCAAATTATGCTTCTGAGCATAGTTATAGTTAATTAAATCAATTCTTTAAAATTCTCCACCACAAAAATAAATCTGTTGCAGGTACAAATTATCCATTTAATTTCTAATATGTAGGAGATTTGAATGCTAGTTAAGAGTCTTCTTATTTACCATTATGAATCATTCAATGCCTATTAAATATATAAGCTTAAATTATCTACATAAAAGGGTATGGTGTTGATTCAGAAAACTTAACTGCAACCAATTTGAATATTGTGTATTACATTGAGTGACTAAATGCCTTTCTAGAAGGTTTAGAGTAAAATGTTATGATAGTATGGTAAGATTCCTATATGAGGACAAAGTGAAGATGGGCTTTGGGTCATGGATAATGGAAGCTAAAATAAAGAGCAATCTATAGGGACAGCTTAGTTGAGCATATTCACAGGGAGAGTCCGATCTTCCCAGTAAGGAAAGAATTTTAGGTGTATGTTTCCAGTTTTTCTAATGAGCTAGGAACCCAATTAGTTAATTATTTCTGCTTATCCACCATCTTCATTTACTAATCAATAAACACTTCTAGATGACCCTATTTTGTTATTCACTGATTTGTTAAATTCCTACAGAAAATGAATCTTCTGGTCAAAGTTTTAATGTATGTAATTTCTATACCCTACTTTGATAATATCTCAAATCCTGTGTTTTGTAAGAAGCACTGCTATGGCACTGTGTAATTCATTTGAGATTATCTACCTTAATTCATTTTGTGCATCAGTTTTACTTATTTTAAAATGTACTCATTTTTGTGTTTGGATAACTCCTGTCTAAATGTGAAATTACACCATAATTTCATTATAGTGAATTGTTTATTAAAAGAAATGATTTCAATATAATTAAGGACATGGTACTTATGAAATAAAAGATTTTAGTTGAACCAATATCTTGGGTTTTTCTTTTATGCCCTAGCAAGGAGAAAATAAATGATTCCTTAAATCAAGGCAGGAGCAAGTTCTTTCTATTGCATCTCTTATCCATATTCTTTGATTGGATTGAGTCTCTTTTCTGTTAGGAACAGGAAATCACTCAGTTGGAATTGGAGATTGTAGTGATCCTCAGTCAATGCAAGGTCATAATGGAATCTCTAGTCATCCTTTGGAAATAGCACAAGTCCAAACAGTCCAAACTTTTCAAAGAAAAGTTCCCTCTAGCAAATTATGGCTGGGTGATGTTTATCCATAAACTTGACCATTTTTGAAAATTAAATTATTTATTTATTCTAATTTGTTATACACAATGGCAGAATGTGATTCATTTCATATTACACATATAGAGCACAATTTTTCAAGTCACTGATTGTACACAAACTATTTTCATACCATTCGTGTCTTCATACATGTACATAGAGTAATGATGTCTAACTTATTCCACCATCATTCCCACCCCTTTGCCCCCTCCTTTCTCCTTCTTCCCTTTTATGAGTCAGTATCCTCATAGGCTGGGGCTGTAGCTCAGTGGCAGAGTGCTTGCCTTACATGTGTAAGGCATTGGGCGAACCCAGCACCACATAAAAGCAAACAAATAAAATAAAGGCATGCTGTCCATCTACAATTACAAAAGAAATCTCAAAAAGGAGGGGGGCTAAGGATATAGCTCAGTGGGTAGAGTGCTTGCTTCATATGCACAAGGCCCTGGGTTCAAACCCAAGTACCACCAAAAAAAAAAAAAAAAACTTGACCAATTCTATTACCTAGATGTGGGTAAGAGGAATGACCTTGGCAAAATTTTTCTCAATTCTTGGCACCTCAATTTCTTTCTCCATAATATAGGACCTTGTGAATATATGTAAGTAATAAATAGATATCATTTATTGATTATGACTGTGTACTGTGCACTTAAATCCAGTCATTCCTTTTACTAAACCAATGGTGCAGCTCACATTTCCTAGGAAAATTGAGGCCAAAAGAAGTCATGTTCAAAGTTATGTAGCTAATAAATGATAAAGCTGAGATTCAAATTCATGTCTGTCTGATTCTAAAATTGTTTGATTCCAAAGACCCTAAAAATCTTTGATTTGTATGAATTGTTGCCCCTATCAAGCCCCTAATGGCTTCTATTCAAGATTATGGATGAAGATTCTCACTGAGCTTTGCAGAATGAAGTTGAAATAAAGAAAAGCAAATATATTCTCTTGT